TTTTTTTTTTAATTTTTTTCTTCTCTTTTTTTAATTTCTTTTTTTTCCCCATAATTTTATTGAGAAATCAGAGGTAAGAGTTTCACTGCCTCATTTACTTTGTAATTTTGGCCTCAAAAATGGTAAAATATCTGTTTCAAACCACCAAATTGGTAGTGATTTGTCACAGAATCAAGAAAACTTAGTAAGATATCATAAGGCTCAACAGTTCCTTTTCTATATCTATCTCTGATAAGCAATGGGTCTGTCATGGTTTACATCTAAAATGTTCCCGCAAAATCTCATGTTTTCATCGGTGGAGCTTTTGGAATGTGACTGGATCATTAGGCTCTAACTTAATCCACAAATTAATCCAATGAGGACATCACAGTTCGACAGCGTCACTTGAAAGTAACAGACAGGAAGTGGGGCTTCGTTCTAGGCAAGTGGGTCATAGTGGCATCCATGACCCACAGCATCCCTGGTCCCTCCTCTCTGTCTCCTTCCCTTTCCCTCTACTGCCCAGCCACCCTAAGCTGAGGAGCTTTCCTCTGTTTCATCCTGCTGTAGTGATATTTCTGCCTCACAGGCCTAAAAGCAATGAAGCAATGAAGTCTAACCATGGATTGAAACTCTGTACACTGTGAATATATTTGTCAAAATTTCAACAGGCAATAATGGGCAACATGTTGTGGTATGTGCACTAAGGTAGAACTACTCCACAATTTAAAAAATTTAAAAGGAGGAAAAAACCATCAAAACATAGAATGAGGACTGGCCAAATAGCTCAGCAGATTAAAGCGCCTTCCTAGGCAGATGCAGGGCCCAGGAGATCCCCTGGTGTGCCATGCTGGTCCCGCCCCCAGGGAGTGCTGAGAAGGCGATTGAGACTAGGCATGGTGGCGCACACCTGTAAACCCAGCACTTGGGAGGCTGTAAACAGGAAGATCATTACAAGTCTGATCTGCGCAGTGAGACCCTATACATCTTGTCCTAAATACAAAAAGAAAAAAAAAGAAAAGAAAAGAAACACAATGACATGTTTGAATCTCAAAAACATGCTAAGCCAAACAATCCAGGTACAAAATTTGATATGAAGTGCAAGTAACAGTAAATTAATTTACACCAACAGAAACTAGAAAAGTATTTTCTTCTGTACTGGACTTGAAAGGAACACAAGGAAATTTTGTGGAGTGACGGATGTATTCTACATTTTGATCTCAATTATGATGACGTGAATATATGAACTTATAAAAATCCAATGAGGAAGCAATAATGAAAATGAAAAAAATAGAATTCCTTTATGTTAAAATGGATTACAAAAACCTAAAACTCAAATGAACAATTGCACCATGTAAACCTTGATTAGATCTTGTTTTAAAAAATTATCTGTAAGTTCTTCTGTTACAATTGGGAAAATCTGAATAAACTAGATGCCAAGAAATGATCACTATTTTAGGTGTGACAATGTTATTTGGTTATGGAGACCATCCTTATTTTAGAAGATGCATGTTGAAGTACTCAGGGATACAGTCAATAATTTAGATTGACATTCAGATGTTTAGTAAAAATATTTTATATATGTATACATATACATATATATATATATATATACATATACAATATATAAAACTAATACGCACAGGTCATAGTACACAAATATTCCCTGATTCTTCTAGCTACTGTTTGAAAATTTTCATTTAAAAATTCAAGAAGATTTCTCCAGGATATATTAAATAAAAAAGCAAAATACAGAACAGTTTATAAACATCATTCCAATTATGTAAAAAATAAAAGTAAAAAAGGGGTGCATGTATAAAAGCACTCTGCATATCTGATTATATTTCAACCAATGAAAAGGGCCATGTGGAATAGATGAGTTTAGTGAGAAATAGGTTTAAAAAGATGCAGCTTGGGTGTGAATCTCATGAGTATGTCATTTTATACAGTTTTGATCTTTATGCCATGAAAATGTAAAACAATACATAAAAGGAAAAATTAAAATTGAAAAGATATTAAAATTATATCTGGTCATGATTCCTCTGTTCAGTTAAAGCCAAATTAATCAACATGCTCAATATGCACATTTGCTAATAGTCTCTTTTTTTTCCTCCTAAATAACAGAGACATTTAAATTGGTTTTAAAACTCAGCAGAAAACTTAGCATCTTGTTGCAGTCCTGCCCCCAAAATGGTTGTGTAATCTTCAATAAATAATTTGGCTCTGGTACACCTCCATTTTCTCACTTATAAGAAGCACCAAATACGACCTGTAGGATTTCTTAGAAGTGACTAATAAAGTTCTGTGTCTCAATTGTCTAGCAAAAAAATCCTAAATACTTCCACCTGCAGAATTTTCTTTAGTGTTGATGAATAACAAAGCTCCATTACCCTTGTTTTCTGCAGTACAACTAACATTGAGGCTTAAGTAGTACAGAGAAATAAAATGTTTTACTCAGATTCACAGCAACAACCAGTTACAGAACACTTCCTTTTAGCCAGTTTACACTGCCCACAAAAGGGACGCGGCCTGCACTGTCAGCCTATCAGGCGCGGCTCTTACCAGGCCGCTAAGGCCATTGGTTAGAGGGAGGAAGAAGCGGCCAATAATCAAGTCCTGAACCTGGAGTTTTACTAAGTGCCCTTGCACAAACAGAGTTTCATGCATTCTTTGCTAAAATAATCTTCCTTTCCAAAAAAGTTGCTAAAAAATCATTTTGGGAAACAAATATATAAAATTAGGGCTACAGGGTTTCTGGCTAAAAATCTCTGCAGACTTGAACCGAAACGAAGAGTCGCAGAAGTCTGCGTCTCCATCCTCCTCTCATAGCGTGTCCTGCCCCTTTAAAGAAAGCTTCCCTTCTTTAAGCCCTCCACAGTTTTGTGACTTTCCTGTAGGTATGCCTTTGGTGTTGCAGCAGTCCCTGCAAAGTGAGGAAGGCTAGCTAGGAAAGAAAGGGATGAAATAATCCTGGGCAGAGTGCAGAGTAAAGCTTTGCCTGCAAGGTGCCCAAGAAGGAAAGGCAGAGAGCTTTGTGGTGCACGCAGAAGAGAGCTCTGGCTCCCAACTGTTACAGTTCTGCCTGTACCTGCAGCACTAAAATGGGGTGCAAAGAAGCTCTGGAGGGGATTTTCTCGAGAAGCTGCACGCTGGGGCTTTTGTCTGAAGAGGAAACTAAGAGGATTCTCTAAAGAACGCTGGAAAGCAATTCAAAGCCCCTCGGAAGGATCTTTTGTAATCTCCCAGCCAGACGGTGTTTTCCGAACCTGGGGAGGTCTCGGCTGGAGCTGGATTTCCACCGCAGCTGGGCCAACGTTCTCTTAAAACAGGCCAGTGGGTGGCTTTAGGAGTTTGGAGAATGAGGTATTTCCTTCTAAATGATGAGGGGGCCTTTCTGAGACGGACAAGTTCCCTCTCCCTCCGGAGGGTTAGGGACTAGAGGTGGCTGAAGTGATTTCTGAGGAGCTGGGTTTCCTCTAGGAGGCCCTGGGAAGAAACGAAAAGGTACTTCGTGCCAGGATACAACATTTCGGTTCCTGGGGGCGAAGACTGCGTTACTGTAAACCCCTTCACTACCGAGAATCTAGGAATCTGGTCAGAAAGCGGCGGGGAGGAAATGCACACACTCACGACCCAGAATGGAGCTGGGGCTCAAGCTGGGGCTGTAAGGGGAGAAGAGGAACTTAAAGAGAACACCACCGCCCCCTTCACAGGAAAGTTGGACGTGGCTTGAAAATAACTTGAAAGCACCAGGACCATAAGTTGGGATGCAGCTGGGAGAGAAGGGGAAGGCGCTCGCGACTTCAAGGTGGTCGAGGGCGAGGCGCCCTGGAGGCAGAACTCCCCAGGGACCAGCTGGCCCGCGAAGGATGTTTTAAGGAATCCGGGGCTCTCGGAGGTACCGGAGGAAGGCGTCCCTGAGTCTGTTTTCCCGCGTCGGGGACCGACAGATACTCACAGAGCGGATCTCCAGCGCCAGGGCGCATTGCAGCGCCTTCACCTTCGGCATCCGCGCGAGGTGGGGTGGCGGGGAGGGACCCCGGCCACGGGCCCGAAAGAGGCGGGGAAACGTGGGGCGGGGCGGGGACGGGAAGGAGGCGAGGTGGCGGTGGTGGCAGCTGTGGCCCCCAGGCCGGGGCCCGCGGTCCAGCCTGGGTCCCGCCGGAGTAGCAGCTGAACGCGGGGCGCTGTGTCGTTGTCATGGTAGCCAGTAGGGGCGGGGCCGGAAGAGAGGCGTGGCGAGGAAGCGCCGGAGCCGCGCGCGAGGGCGGTGGCAGGGGCGGGGCTCAGCGTTCGTGGGCGGGGCTTCAGAAGGGGCTGGGCACTGGGCAAGCCTCTTGTGACGTCACTCCGCGAGCCCAAAGCCGGAGGCAAGTAGGCAGATGTGCGGTTGGCTGGACTCCAGGCAGCGAGCAGGACTCGAGCTCTGGGTTCCAATGCAGCTATTCCACCTAAGGCTGGTGCCATCCCTCTGGGATCTCAGTTTCTCCAGATGCAAAATATGAATAATAATTACTATTAATGAATTTCACAGCACAGTTTACAAAACCAGCATGAAACAACAAAAGATTCGAGATTGAGGGCCAGGGAGATGGCTCAGTGGAATAAGCGCTTCCCTGGCAAGCGCAAGGGCCTGAGTTCAATCCCCGAGATTTATCTAAAGTACATCACAGGAATCCGAGAGCTCTGGAGTAAAACTCCAGTTGCCATTGAAAGAGTAGCTTCAATCCTCATGATCTTAGTGCTGTGATTTCTTTATTAATGTGGCCCTCCTTCCCTCAGATTCCTATATAATTCACCCAGTGCAGGTTGTTTAAGCTGGAGAGTTGAGGCGCCAGTCATAAATCCAGTTAGGAAGGGTCTAGCCCCCAAAGGTAAAAACAACCACAGGAATGGCCCAAGCCAATCTTGTTAAAATCAGTTTTATTGCAAAGTAAGTTATGTCCACGGAAGTGTATAAAACGCACTGTTATAACCTGACCAAAGCGCCGCCATCCTGTTCTGTATACGCCGTTTTAGTGAACCATGTCAGCTGCTGTAAAATGTGACTTCTGTTTCTTGGGCCCACTCCCTTCAGGGTGTGTTATACCCTGACGTTAGTAACTCCATCTTGGCTCTCCAATTCACCCTTGCCCTAGTTGATTACAATGACTCCATCTTGGTTCTCTGATTCACCCCTGCCCTGGTTCCGAGAATGTCTTAAGGCAAAAACAGGTGTTCCTGGCAACCGGTTGGCCACATTGTCCTTATAAGGTCAGCATGACCGCATACCTAGATTACACACCCTGTTCTGTACTCCACCTAGTCCAAAGGGGTGACTCCTCTGTGTCCAGCTTCCTCCAGGTGGGCTACAACCAATCCTGCAAAAGGTCATGTGCCCCCTAAACCACATTAACATCTGCTATTGGTTTCTGTGATCGGCTTGCTTGGATGGGTGGTTTTGCGGTTTTGGGGTTTAAATTACTGTGCCTCCCCTTACCCAGGGCTCCTCTCTGTCTCTTGGACTCTGAGGGGGCCGCTGGGTACCAGTTAAAATAAAGTGCTACCATCTTTTTGGACTTTTTGCCTCGTTGTCTCCTTCTTGGGTTACAACACGCACCCATCTTAATAAAGAACAATGCCAGTGCAACTAGTGCCCAGTTACAAAATAGAACATTAGTAGTGATAGGTTCTGGCCCTAGTATGAATGGCTGAATTATTATGGTGGTCATCCAATATAGCTGAAGCCCTTACAGCTCATCTTCCCAGAGACCTCCTCCCCCCTTCTTCTCTAACTCAGCCCAGGGTGCAATTTCCTTCCCCTTTCCCACCACTCAGGGAAGGGCCCAATCAGCTCCTCAGGTGTATCTAAACATCCTCCTCAAAACCTACCCCTGGCAACAGGTCATACTCAGCCTCCCTTTGTTCCAATCCAGAGAATTCTTTGTCTTCCCCAATTCTCTCC